TTTTTTTTTTTTTTTTTTTTTTTTTAAAGGGTTTGAGGAATTCAGAAATCTTCAAAAATAATATCTTGGCTTTCTGAAAAATGCTCATGAATTGGCAATGAGTCTCCTACTGTTCTCCTGAAATTTATGTATCTAAAAAGATAAAATTAGCTCTGAGAGAGATAAATAAAAGATAAAATGGGCTAAAAATAGCCCTTTTGCATAGAACTGTGGTGTGGTGTTAGCGCCAGACAGTGATCACTGACCACTGTATTCAGTTCAATATTAACTAACAGATTTTCTTGAGAGGTAGACTTGTTAGTTTTATTCTTGGATTTCGTTTTGAAAAAGGGAGATACACTTTTTTGAATAATAATGAAAACTGTGAAGTCCTCTTGTTTGTATGTTAAACCTTTTCTTTTTTCCTGTAGTTAAAGCTTTTCATCTCAAATATGATGAGGTACGTCTGGATCCAAATGTACAGAAATGGGATGTAACAGTGTTAGAACTAAGCTACCACAAAAGACACTTGGACAGGCCAGTATTTCTACGCTTCTGGGAAACTTTGGACAGGTACATTTCATGTTGAAAGTCTTTTATGCTTGTGTTTTTGTGATGTTCAGTAGGAATAACAAATTTATGGAAACGAGTGCTATATACAACTTCAGTGTCTTACGAATGCTTTAAGTGGTAAATATTTGTTTAGACTTCTCAAAATATATACCAGTATATGTTCAGTACAAATTAATAATGCTATTCTCCAAAGTGTAATATCCACAGATGTGAAAGAAGGATGGTTTACTGATCGTGGACTAGAATAGTGATTTCCCATCTCCGTTTAGGCAGAGGCAAAGGAACAGAGAATGTCACCCTACATGCTGCAGTTTTCCGTTGTTCCCCCAGCTCTTCATTCAAACTGCAGTTGTGAACTGTATCTCTCCTCTTTCCTATTTCTACCTTACTATAGATGACAGTCTCTAGTAAAGGTGAGAAACTACTTTCAAGATAGTAACCACAAAGCGTAATCTTAGTCTGGTACCTCCTGAGTCCACAGTACCAGGTAGAAGATGTAGGTCAGAAAAGATAATGACGTGTACTGAGTTCAGGTGTAGTGTTTTTACTTTGTGTTTTTGAAACATTCCACGTACTTTAGGAATGCCTTGCATGAGAATTGATGACTGGAGGTGTACCAGTAGCTGTGAAAAGCGGTGCTGCTTTTGCCTGCTTCTCTCTGGTTCTGAACCTTCTTTGAATACCAAGTTCAGTGTAATATCTTTTTCATGTTGTAGAAGAGAAACTTTTTATCATTAAGCGGTTGAAATATTGAAGGGAGAGAAAAGTCCGTGCATTTAATGAGTGTTTAATCTTTTCATGTTGATTGCACAGCAAACGGCTTGAACGATTGAGAGGACTTCAAAAAGAAAAATCCTGTGGGAGTTGTCTAAATGATTCTGAGCGTCAAACTTTCTGTGCCTTCTTATTTAAAAGTCTCAGCTAAACTACATATTCAAATTCTCAGAATGAACTTGAATGAGTTATCTTTAGCAGCAATTTTCAAATGTTAGAACTCATGTGACAGAATGAATTTTCTTTGAAGCAGACGTTTTAGCTGTCTTCTAACGGGGTAATATTGTGTTTAACAGAGCTTGATGGCCTGTAAGGTATTTCATCTATTTAGCAGCTAGCTAATGGTCTAAGAGTTAAGTTTTAACAAAGTCTGTTTATTGTTCTTGAGAGCAGAATTTCTATACATACCAAAAAAGTAGTAAAGTTGTTTGTTTGCTTGTTTTTTTAGGTATATGGTGAAGCATAAATCTCACTTGAGATTCTGAATCCTTCAGCTGCCGTTCATTTCCTGGAGTGTGGATTGAGAACAATGAAAGAGACTCCAGTTTGGAGACCAGAGCTCGCACTATATGTTATGTCAATAACTTTACAAATGAAGAAGGGTCACAGTTGAAACTTTTTATAAAATCTGGTTTGGATGCTTCATGGCAGGTTGATACCTGTTGTTATTCAGAAGCAAAGGGGTTTTGCTTAAAACTATTTTTTTAATGTTGTTAGCCTTCTAGTCTGCAATTCAAATTGTATATTTTGATAGCAGCAGTTTCTTCTCTGTTTTGTTAAATTAGGCACATTTTTAAATAATGTGTTATGTTCCTTATTAGAAAATAGATTGATCTTCACTGCAGGTTACAAATGTGTGTGTGCCTGTGCGCGTGTGCGCACGTGTGTGTGTATATATGTGTGTATGTGTCTACATATATAATGTATAAAAAAAAATTATAGACACGCTAACGCACACATAGTTATTCCTGAGGCTTTCTAAACCACTTAGCTTCTGAGCTTAGTTTTGGTTTTCTTTGCTTATTGTTTCACTTACTGAAAATATTTTGTTGTGAATGAATTTACATTTTAGTCAATAGAACTTGCAAACTGAGAAAAGTGAAGATTGTTTTGGAAATCAAATTGTCAACCTGTATATGTATATTCTGTCAGTCTTGGAAAAAGGGAAGATGAGAGTGCTAGAAACTGACTTGGATTTGTGATGTCCCACTTTACCGAATCTTCAAACTTAAATACAAATACCTTCAGGTCATGGTAGTTTTAAATCTCCATTCTCCACTCAAGTCTCTTTATTTAAGCTGGAACCGTGCACGTATATGTTCCCATCTATCAAAATACCTTCCTACAAGTTTAAGTGTTACCTGGACTGAACAAGGAATAGAAAGGGACAGTTTGGATTTTTTTTTTTTCCCCTGGAAATGTCAGCACAAGGAGGAATAATGTTAACTTCTTTGCATTTATACCTGTGATATCACCACTAATATTATTTTATTGTGACAAAAGTAGCCCAGACTGTCTAGAGGAGTTGTCATTTCCTGATATGAGTGGCTGATAAGGCCTCCTAACAGTTGTGCATCGGAGTGGAAAATGAGTTTACTCAGTTTACCAAAGAACACATTTGCTTGAGCTACAGTATAAATGAGGCCAGAAGATCATGGTATTTGTTTGGATTTATGGTACCTGTGTATCTATTTAATAATGTTGCATACCAGTTGATGTAGAGAATGATCCGATATTGTAACACCTGCATGGATTTTTTGGGATATAAAATACATGTTTATATTCCGTTCTTGAAATCCAAAACCATGTTTTTTAATATACTTTACATTTAAGACTTGACAAAAGTAAAGTGGTCTACCTGTTCTTTAGTTTTGCTTTTTATTTGATGTTACCTTCATTTTAGTGGAATCCAGTAGCCCCATTTCCTTCAGAGGTTTTTAAGATGGTCTTAAATTTATATGAGAACTGTGAAGTCTGAAAGGTTTTTAATAATATGTTTCTATCCATGCTGTATTGGGTTTGCTATATTTAAGTTTAGCCAATTATCTTGATGGAAATAAAAGCAAGCGAAAAAAAAGAAGACTCCAGGATTAGAAATTGTAACTGGATGACTTGAACAGATTCTGAAAGGAGGCCTGAGAAGAGCAAGCAATGCAGAGCTCGTTGAAAGTATGCTAGAAAGTTCTCCTGTCTGTGTAGGCAGTTTGGTCAGCACCACATGACTTTTTTCCCAACACCTAAGCATTATTAGAAGTGCATGCATGTCGTATCTGAGTGAGGTAAAACATTCAGTGTTTGGTTTTAACCTATGTTACATTAAGAAAAAGCTGTACTGGCTACTGCAGAGAGTACCATAAGGAATGGGTAAACTTACAGTTTGTTACTACTTCAGAGAGATTGTAAGTGGCTTTTTCACTCTGACATGTTTCCAATTACAAATGTAAGGGTTTGTTTTGTTGGTTTTCTTTTTTTCAGACTTCAGTGGCCCATGCAGTTTCAAAGAAACATCTACAATGGGCACCAAATGTAACATACTGAACGTTGAACATAACTGCTTCACGTGCACTGCGGTGTAAAGACTATGGAATAGTCTTAAAATATGCAAACTCCATTTCTCTTTTCTATGCCCTGTATTTCACTTGTGTTTTAAAAGTGTGTAGTCTAGCATCCAATATTGTACATAGAAGATGGTTTGATGTAGATGTAAATTTATGTATATATTGGGAGTAGCTTCTCTCAAAGGAATGAAGTTACGTGGATGTGAAACTCGCAGAAGAGGAAACCTGTGCTATGTTTTTAACAAGTGTGCTGCTTCTTATGGATTGAGCGCAGACCTTTGACATCACTGGGGTTTTGTTCTTGGAGGAAGTTTTCATCACGAGTTCAAAATGTGTTTGTGGAGGAGGTGGCACCTGATCGTCTGGCTGTGTGTCTCTTTGTCAGTCATAAAAGTAGCGATGTTTATAGAATGAGCCGTTTTGCAATCAAATTCCTGCTGACATTATTGGAAGTTTAATTAGGCTGTCAGAGAATAGCATTCCTACTGACTTCAGAAATATCTGCACATAAGATTATGAAACTACTTGGACTTAAAAATTTAGCCTTGCAGCAGCGTTTTGCAACACAGCTGGATTTTTTGACACTTACGTTATGCTTGATTTATCTACAAGTTAATGTGGAGTAATAAAGAAAACTGATAGTAAGAACTGGGGAAGCTGCAGGATCAGACATCTGTTTTAGTGAGCTGTATTCTTATTGTTGAGCAAGTTTGACACTTTACATAGAAGTGTATAAAGTGTGTAAATTGTACTCAATTAAAGCATACGACTAAAACTGAGCTACTTTACTGCCTGTAGTTTATTAAACAGTGGAATGACACTAGTGTACAAATTGAATTAGCTGTTTCCATTAAATATCTTAAGTGTCATAACTCCACACTGTTTCATAGGTACAAAATGAACAAGGTGAAACAAGATAAGACGAGAACTGGTTTGAAATCTGTTACTGAGTTCCTGTACTGTCAGCAGGTGATTTTTTTTCATTTTTTTCATGGCAAGGTTTTAGATGCCAGTAGAGATATCAGAAGTAATGGTTTCATATTAAGAACTACACTGCCTGTGATTTATACTGTTTGAGCTTTCTGAATGCTACCTAGGCAAAGCAGAATTTTTTCATAAGGTAGAGGAGGACAACTACCTTTTATAGTGGGTTTGCGTACCTGAATAAATCACAGATCAGCTTTGTCAGTGAATAAGCTCAGCTCCTCAGTTACTACATGGAAATTTCTGTAGCAAAACAGTTTCAAAAATAGACACTCAAGTCATTGTTGGAAATAGGCAACTTATAGAACTGTTCTGCAGTGCTGTAAACCTTTTCATTTCTGAGTATACAAGAAAATATAGAAGGCAGACAGTTAGGTTGCCCTTGATTGTAAGTTCAACTATGGTATTTGTTGTAAGGATAAGCCTTAATCAGAATAGAAAAGTTGTTTTTGGCTTTCATTTGGTATGCAGTGTATAAAACATTACTATTCTCTGCAATGTGTATTTTATTACAGCTTTCATTCTTTTGCTGGTGAAATATGTTCTTAGTTGCTTATTCTTGAGAACACTATACAGAAAAAAGCCAGTCAAAACTAATGGCTTAGTGATTTTAAATTTTAATGTCATGAATGCATTTTAATTCAAAAGCCATAACTAATGCCAAGTACTTTATTAGAGCAATGTGTTCATGAAAAATTAAAATTGCTGCCTGAAGAAACTGTTGGCCAAGCAGGTTACAGTTGAGCTAATCTTTGGAAAAATGTGTCACAAAATGAAATCTCTGAACATCGTATTCTGAGTTATTTGTTACTTAATTGTTTTGAAGAGTGATGGCAGTTTTGTTTTCAGTTGTGAACAGATGCCTAATTCAGCAGAATCACAGAGTAGCTTGGGTTGGAAGGAAACTTGAGGATCATCAAGTTTCAACCCCCCTGCTGCAGGCAGAGTTGCCAGGTGCTGGATAAAGTGCTAGGTCGGGTTGCCCAAGGCCACATCTAACGTGGCCTTTGAACACCTCTGGGAGTGGGACATCTACAGTCTCTCTGGGCAACCTGCTCCAGTGCCTTATCACCCTCTCAGTGGAAAATGTTCCTCCACACATCTAAGCTAAATCATCCTTTAAATATCGTAAGGCTGCAGTGGGGTCTTCATTCTCTTCTCCAGACTGAACAAACCCAGCTCATTCAGCTTGTCTTCATAGGAGAGGTGCTCCAGCCCTCTCATTATCTCTGTGGCCCTTTTAAGGACCACCCTTTCAACATACCCTTGAAATCCTCTATCAGGATGAGAGCCTGCAAGTGTGACTCTTGCAGATGAAGCAAGATGAAGCAAGAAGGCCTTGTCAACAGCTCCCGTTGATCAGGTGGCCTGTAGTAGATTCCAACCACCAGCTGTCCGATACTGATTTTGTCCTTGATCTTAACAACAATAGCGATTGTATTGTTTGACTTTTTGGTTAGTTCTACCTTAAGGCTATTAACATGATATGATAACTGAAGAAGAGATGGGAAACTGATGGCTTTAAGTATGGAGATGTGTAAGTAGAGTTCATGTACTTGACAATCATAAGTGATTTCTTACTGGAACCATTATCCAGTGTGTAAAGTAGAATCCATTCTTCAACTGTTGCCTTGTCTGTTAATCATTCTCTTGATGGTGCTGCTGTTGTAGAGAGTAAGTTTGGAGAATAAAGAGATTTCATCAAGAAAAATGAATTGGTAAGTAGTGTGTGGTTGTGGGCTGAACCTCCAAACTGAGTTATCGTGTTCTAGTATTTTCATAAGCATACAAATGCACAGAACCATTTCAGGTTTTTGACACTACAATGCACAAACTAGCTGACATGTAAAGCTGAAAGATATAAGGCAAGACATACAGTCAATAACAAAAATAGCTTGAGTTGTTATTTTCATCTATAAATTCCTTTGCTGTAGTTTATGTTCACAACTAAGTACTTGCTTCGTAAGGTTTTTGCATGTCTCACTGAAAGGTATGAGAGATAAGTCTTGGAGTTGCTTTAAGGTTTGATTAAAGGAGTTTTTAAGGTATTAATTCTGACCTGTGTTAGTGGGAACAAAATTTACCACTGGTTTACATGGTTGAAACTGAATCAAAATCATTTTAGAAATAGAGACAGCCACCACTGAATGGAAGGAGGAGAAAAAGTTCCCATAAGGTTGAACTTAAACTCACAAAACTGTCATACACTTACTCTGCTTAGTGACATGTTAAATCTTAAGATGACTTGACTCAGTATTTCTGATCTAGAGTTCAGTGTTGACATTTCTATGTACTTAACAGCTCACATCCACCCATTTGAAAATTCTTAGCAAAAATGTCCTGCAGAATTTCAAAGGTGGGATGACTTTGAGTGCAAGAGTCAACTTGATCGTAAAAGCAGCAGCAGAAGGATGCATGTTTTTCTTGGCACTATTCCATTGCTTTAAATGGTAAATAAAACTGCTGAAGAATCTGTGAGTAACGCAGTGAGGTGTTAGCAGGACTGGTTACTCTGGAAAGTCATGTAGAACCACTTTGTGCTGGGGGTACTTAAAGCTAGAAACCTACCTTTAACTTTGTTTGAATTCACTTGTTGCGGCTCGTGTGGAAATTAGATTGCACATTGCACATGAGAGAGATCTGTTTGTTCTCTGATAAAACTTTTATGAAAGAGCCTCTATGTTTTATGCATGATGGAAATAATTAGTCTGGTTACCGAAAAGTTGCTAAAAAGAGAATAATGAGATTAAAGATGCAAGAAAATACATAAATGGGAAAGCTTCCTAAAGTGAGATTACTAAACAGAAATACTTCTACAACACACAAGCAGCATAGAACAAATTTACTTCTGCGTGCAGAGGATTAATACCCTAAATTACCATCCCAATAGTCTGACTTGATTGAATGGAGCGGTCCTGCAGATTCTCATATAAAAATATCTTGAAATATATTGATTTTCACTTTTAATCTTCTTAATTTCTTTGACTTTGGTGAGTACTTTGGGTGTTCATTTAGCTTCCCATTCCCCAATGATCAAGGCAGTTAGATGATCTTCCAAGTACGAAACTAAAGCACAGTTACTTCTCTCTTTATATGCGTACGTTTATGTTAATGTTCTTATTCCACTGAGAAGAAACGTGCATCCCTCATGATGCATGCTGGTGGGTTTTTTTACATTGCTAGTTTTAAAATACCAAAATTAAGGTGGCAATATACTTCTGAACAGAAATGTTGACATACAACAGAAGTTGATGTAGTAATGAAGCTACAGTAGAATTTATGCATAAGGAGACTTCTGCACTTACTATTTTGCCTTTCAGGAGGCA